TTCAGCCATAGGACGTCCACTGCTGAACATAGGCCTCCCCCAATGCTTTCCATGTTGATCGATTGGTAGCGGCCTGCGTCCAGCGCTTCCCTGCTACCTTTACGATGTCGGTCCACCTTGTAGGTGGACGTCCCACGTTGCGTTTTCCGGTACGCGGCCTCCATTCCAGAACCTTTCTGCCCCATCGGCCGTCAGTTCTGCGTACTATATGCCCTGCCCATTGCCACTTCAGCTTGCTAATCCGTCGGGCTATGTCAGCGACTTTAGTTCGTTTACGTCTACTAATTCATAGAAGTAATAATTTACCCTTAATAAAACTCAAAACCTTCCAGGAATCGATGCACCAAATATGCTCCGAACAAGACCAATGCTTACAAAAGGTGCAGTCGTCCGACGTTCTAACTGAAGCCCTGTGCAAGATGTTAGGCGCACCACACACTAGTGACGCAGCGGTGTTAGTGAAAGTATACACCGATGTAATAAGTGGTGTGGATGAGCTTAGAGACGATATTGCTGAGGCGTTTAGGAATAAGGAAGCGGGTATTGATGAGTTGTGAGTATTTTTTTTATAATTAACTAAGCATTTCGTGAAAATATAATACTTTTTATGACCGCAGAAGTCTAATAAATAAAAGGAATTCAAAATTAAGATAGAAGAAAGAAAGACAAAATTTTCACGCTAAAATTAGTGTCATCGAATTCAAATTATTTATTTGCAGTAAATAAGGTTTACAAAAAGGTGTTATAAACAGATAAATGTTGCTTTCAACCTATTCAACTATGATAACACAGCATGCAAATTTTTCATCTATTAGTTATTGACTCTTAGGCCCAGAACAGACGGTGAAACGCAACTGCAACGAAACTGCAAATTTCTGATGATTCTGATGAATGAAACTGAAACTGAAAGTGTCAAACTGGTCGCTTCTGTGTGGTCTCTCAACGGACGCTATGGCAGAAACTTAGATGCAACTCAAAAGTGTCGCGCGCGCACACTCACTGCGGGTGCCAGTCGCACAGTCGCGACAGCAATATAATTACGCGCGAGCGATAAGGATGGGTAGCTTGGGGTCATTGGACAAAATTCTACGTGCTCACAGACCAGACTATAGCTACACATTGCATTAAACATTATTTTAACGTATTCTTTTCTATATTACCAGCAGCAAATCGTGCGTCCCGCTCCGCAATTACATCTGGGACGGCTGCACTCGCCAGCCCAACTGCTGGGACAGATCGGCCTCGGCGCTGTCCCACTCGCTGAAGCACGAAATGGGACTCGTGGACAAGAAAGTGCTGGACGCGAGTAGCCTGTTCACTGCTGTCAAGGTTTGTTTGCAATGACATCCGTAGTTCAATCCAGGGATTCCCAGGCGACGTGAAAACTGTTTAACTTTCCCCCGGGACCAACTTGACCAGGAATGATATTAGAATAATATTATACCGGTTACGGATATGAAATCATTTCGGATTTTATCCGAAAGTTTCGGATAATTTCGGTTATGGATATTTTAATTTTAAAAATGTTAAATTCAAATAGCAACTTGCTGCGTGACCCTTATAGCCACTTTATGTAGGGTAAGGTGGGGCACAATGTTACACGGGGTACAATGTTACAATGCATATTTCTCCGTCCCTTTCTATTAGTTGTATGATGTTGGTATACACATTTATCAAGCTCATAAGAGCTGCTGAACTGAGCCGCTGAACATCATACAACTATAGAAAGGGACGGAGAAATATGCATTGTAACATTGTACCCCGTGTAACATTGTGCCCCACCTTACCCTACTATAGCTTTCCGCCCACGGCTTCCTGCGCTTTCCGCCCACGGCTTCGCGCGCGTGGACTACATTAACCCTATTTTTTTCCAAAATAAAATTTAGCCTATGTTACTCGTGGATAATGTAGCTTTCGAATGTTGAAAGAATATTTAAAAAACTGTCCAGTAGTTTTTGAGCCTATTCATTACAACCAAACAAACAAACAAAGTTTTCCTCTTTATAATATTAGTGTAGATGACGGCACCTATGATAAAACAGGTGGGGATATCAGATTGTGCCAGGGAATGCCAGACCGGTAATAAATATTAAAGAACATTAAGATTTAGACTCCGCCTTTATCCGAAACTATCCGAGACTTGTGAATCCTTTTCGGTTACGGCTACTGATATCCATAACACCTTGACCTTCACTGGTTAAGGCTTATTCCACTAATCCCCGTTGACGGGGATTTTCAACAGGGAATAATGATTCCACTATTCCCCGTAAGCCACTGGTTAGGCTTTTATTTGCGGTCATACTGTAGATCCTGGCTACACAGGAGTTGCAGCAGTAGGAAAGAGGTAGGAATTGTCCCGTGAAGGGCGTCGTGAATCCAGCTCATAGGAATACTTCTCTACGGAATCCATGAAATTAGAACTAAAACATGTAAAGCCTGGTCCGTGAGCACGTAGAATTTTGTCCAATGACCCCAAGCTACCCATCCTTATCGCTCGCGCGTAATTATGTTGCTGTCGCGCTCGCACGCTCACTGCGGGCGCCCGTCGCACAGTCGCGACAGCAATATATTTACACGCGAGCGATAAGGATGGGTAGCTTGGGGTCATTGGACAAAATTCTACGTGCTCACGGACCAGGCTTTAGTACCAGTTGACAGCATAGCAGACTATACAGGACGATATTGCAAAGGTTCTCACAATATTTTTTTATTTATTTTTATTTTTTATTTTATAAAAAAAGGTTCACCAACAGCTTATACACTAATACATATTAGATATATAAAAGGAGAAACTGACTGACTGACTGACAGATCAACGCACAGCCTAAACGGCTAAACGTAGGCACTTGAAATTTGGAAGGGACGTAGCTTAGGTACCGTAGAGGTGCACTAAGAAAGGAATTTCCGAAATTCCCACGGGAACGGGAATTAGCGGGAAAAACGGGATTCACGCGTACGAAGTCGCGGGCGGCCGCTAGTATTAGATAATTTTAAACTTATTCTAGAGTATCTTACTAAATGTAAAGCCACTTACTGGCGAACACAACTTGCGTTTACATTAAGAAGACTTTAAAAATAATTATGACAATATGACTTTATCATAATTATTTTTAATCATAGTGTTTTTCAAAAAACACTCGCACTCGCTCATGTTGTTAAGCACCTTATGTTGTTAAGGCTACGGCTAATTTTTGTACGCCAGATAATTATTTAACTGTACTGTATTGATAATTATTTAAATAACAGTTGTGTGTCGCCTATTGGCTTGGCTATTACCAATTCAATTAATCTCACCAATATTTTGTTGTATTCCAGAATGGCGATAAGAATAACCTACGAAAACTCTGGCAGTGGTTTCTGACCGACCACAATCAGCTGTCATCGGTGATTAAGCACGTGCAAGCTAAGGGCATGGTGTTCTAAGGTTATTATTTATTTATCGATTTTAATTGCACAGGTTTTAGACCTTGCACTTTAATTACGTATATTTTGGTCTAAATTATTTGGGTCCGTGGCCGAGTCCCCCTGTGTTCGACGCACCCGTGGTCGACGCCCCCGGTCAGATAGAAGCGATTTTTAATCAAATATACAGTCAGTCACAAAAATATTTATGAACGAATAAATATTTATACTGATCGTACAAATAAATATTTAATATTATTTTACCATAGTGATACTTAAAAAATAATAGGTTTTATTTTAACCTATCATATTTTATCATAGGTTTTATTTACCTATAATAACATGTAAATCGTTTTACCTAATCAAAATAATTGTAACAGTCAGTCTTTAAAATAACTCTACTCTCTCTACATTTAACTAACTACAAATAAAACTTTTAATTATAATTAAGTATTTAAAAAAAAAAAAAACATAATTTTAAATAGCGTGAAACATGCATGGTTTTCGTTAACTGTACTTAGTGCAAAAGCCGAAAAAAATATGATATTAAATTTATTTAAATCGGGGGCTTCAACCACGGGTGCGTCGAATACTGGGGGACTCGGCCACGGACCCAATTATTTGCTGTTATTGGCAAAAAATATGATAATATCGTCTCTATTTATCTAGCATCTCACCCTGTCTGGTATCTCTTACGTATTATAAAATGGGTAGAATTTAACTGCAAGTCAAAAATCATAGATTTTCATACTAAAAAAAATACTGACTGCACAGCAAAATAATTACCTCAAAATATTTGTATCTTGAAAGCGATTTAAGTTCGTGACGTATTGCTTTTTATTTAAAAAGTGAAGCTAATGTATGAATGTATATCTAATAATAATCACAAGTATTTTTGTATCACAATAATATAGTAAACTAAGAAAAAATAAGTTATGAAGGCGATATATATACTTTTATGTAGACTATTAAACTAAAATTCAGGGTAAGCAAAATTATCTACCTCAAATTAGACTTTTAAATGAAAATTGTAAAATCAAAATACTTATTCGATTCTAAAACACAGCACAATAATTAATGTTAAATTCAATACTATGAATACAAAATTTAACTGTATTACATTAATAAAAATGGTAGCAAATATTTTTATATGTATTAATGCATTTATTCTATAATGATAAATATCTGTAATATTTTTGTATCTCAAAACGCACATTTATGATGTTCAAATAAAACATAATATCTCCTTTAAAATATCTTTAATTACAATAATACTATCTACACGTAACAAAGTATAAAATTTCTCTATAATAAATACTAAAGTTTGATCACATTGCTTGTACAGTCAAACATTTGAATAATTCGCATTGACTATACATTATAATAATGTCATCCATATAGACCTGTGTTAGATACAAATTGTACTTATTCAGTTAGGAGAGATACATTTTGCATTGTTTTAAAATTAAAAGCTGATACAAGTGTGGGATATGATGCTCAACCACAATAAGGAAGCTAGATGTTAGTGCTTCCTTCCGAGCGGGTGTTGTGCTCGGGGACCAAGGTCCAATTTACACCATCTTGGTTTGTCTATATATACCTACTTGGCAGGATCTAAAACTCCGTCACCGCGATGCAGGTTTGTATGAGCGGCGGAGTATGCTATAGTGAAGTAGTGACAGCGCCATCTGTTGGTCACTAGTTTGTAGTGGCGTCGCCACACAAGTCTGTATGGATGACATTTGTACAACCCGGTCGAGTTACTGCACACCTGGCGGGCGTGACGTCACTGGTACGAACGGGACGAACGCGGGGTGAGTGAGTGAGAGAGAGAGAGTAGCATTCCAGTGTGCGCAGTTAACTTGATCGGTTAGTAAACTCATTTCAAAGTTCTCTCCGTATGGTAAAGTCTAGTTTTAGACTGCTTTTACTTTTTACTTTTGTCTCATGGAAACGGTGGTATAAAAATTAAGATGTTTGCGAGTTTATAACAATCATTTAACAATAATTTTATTGCATTTTCAAGTGATAGCAGTTATTCCGTGGATTTGAAGAAAGTCCATAATAGTAAAAAGTCAACGTTTTCATTAGCATCGTCTCTCGCCTCTGCTGACTCAGAAAGATCATACGGTTAACGATAGCCATATCAGTCCGTATAATGATGAGCAAATATTCCCAACGCTGGGCAAACGAATTCCACTGAGTCTGGTCTTCTGTTTATGGCAGAGTCGTATAAAATAAAAGAGTAGATTTCAGTCCGTGATGAGCCAATACTCCCAACGCTGGGCAATCTTATCCCACGTAGATAGCAATGGCAGAGATGCGTGATGATTTCAGTCCATTATGAGCAAATATCCCCAACGCTGGGCAAATTAATCCCATATACACTTGGGCTTCTTCTATCAACGGCAGATTTGTGATGAAAGAGTAGCAATTCCAGTCCGTGATCAGCAAACATTCCCAAAGCTGGGACAACGAATCCCACATAATATTTTCAAACCCGTTAGTCTTGTCTTCTGTCAATGCCAGAGTTGATGATTTCAGTCCATAATGAGCAATCAATCCCACTGCTGGGCACTAATCCCACGTGGGCCGGGGCGGCTTCCCGAGCATGGTGTCCTCGGGCGCGACGTGTATCGGGTTGCTGAAGTCCACTTCGATGTGCTCCGGGATGCTTTCGTGGAACATCTGCTCGGCGCCGGTGTCTGGTGACGAAAGGGTTAAATTAGGCAGTTCATAATTGTAAAGCCCGGGCGCCGAGCAGGTAGAATTTCGTCCAATGACCCCCAGCTACCCATCCTTATCACTCGCGCGTAATTATATTGCTGTCGCGACTGTGCGACGGGCGGCCGCAGTTTGCGAGTGCGACAGCGACGAGCGCGCGAGCGATAAGGATGGGTAGCTTGGGGTCATTGGACGAAATTCTACGTGCTCGGCGCCCGGACTATACCAATTTCCAACTTACATTGAAATTTCTTTGAGAAAAGGTTCCATGAAATCCGTGCTAGGTGTCAATTTGCTGTATAATTCGAATTTTACTGGCTTTGGCATCAAAAAGTGAAATTAAGTTTGCGAACTAGTGACATCATAGTTTGGGACATTTTATAATGTCAATTGACTGGTCAAGATGTCAAGTAAACTACCTTATTTGTAGCAGTTCAGTTCAACCAATCTACTCTTCTTCTTATCATGTCGACAACAAACCTACACAGTGTCAGCCTTAAACTTCGCTACAAGACTGGATTAGAGGATTTAATTAATGCTGCTGACAACCAATCTACTAGTACATGTAGAAATCTGATGATGATTTGGGTCATGTAGTCTTCAAGTGCACGTCTCTCTAATTCTCCAAAGCAATAAAGCTTTGGCCTTTACTACCCACGCTGGCCCGACGGGATGGAGACATAAGCTGGCCTAAAATGCGCGCCACGATATAATTTTATCGTTGATTATATTTTTAGACGACTATGTAAAAGGTGATTTTCTAAAATCAATAAAACGATATAATGGCACGTCCTATGCTACCTGATGTTCTTTTATAGGTATCAATGCTTACGTGTAAAATTGAGTCTTGCAATAATGTCATCCAAATGGTGCTGGTCCAGCGTAGCCTTAACCGTGATCCTCTCTCTATGTAGACTACGTTTGTGTCGCGAAGAACGCCCGGTGACGCGACTAACTGTACTGTTGCGATTGAGTAGTGGCAGCGTGAACACCATTTCGGATAGGGGGGTGTTGTCAGGACCGAATTCCTGGAATTGGAAAGGGTACTTGAAAATAATGATCATCAACACTTGATAAAGTTCAGCCAATGCCAAATAAAGGCCTCTTTTAAGATTATCTACAGATGACGTCTTTTGTTTGATACAGCTGCCTCTGTGGTCTAGTGGTAAGACCATCTGCTTCAGACGCAGAGGTGCTGGGTTCGAATTCCAGTGGGGGCAGATTTTTGATGGTAGGGCTTGTTCTAAGTCCGCCTGGCTAGCTACCACCATCTTACCTAAGTCTGTCGCCATAACAACAATGTTAACAGCATTATTGTTTTCCGCGATATGAATTTTGTGGAAGGTGTCATATTATTATTACAGAAGGGAGCTTAAAATTTCGATAGAATTTAAAGCATAGAGTAAGAGTTCGTCAACACACGATCTTACATACCTTTCCATTTTATATATTCCAATCTTAAAGAGTGACCTATGTTTGGTTTCTCTTACCAAGCACTTCCCGCTGACGCAGTAGGAAGAGTTCCTCTTCCCACAGGAGGTCCCTAGAGGGAACCAGCCCTCGTGCCCGTTGACCAGGTAGAACCGGTGCGACACCCGTTCGTCCTGGCACGCGATGCGGCAAGGGCGGTCGGGGTCCTCTGAAAATTGGGTAGTTGACATCGTAAAGTAAGGAATAACTTTTATAAAATAACTAATTTATAGCTCAGAAACTAAATTATAGCCTGACCAGGAACATAAAAACCCTCGCCATGTTGCGGAAAACTAATGGTACTAATTTCTTTTAATGGCAACAGTAACTGAAAACTTCATTGACATGTCACCTTGCATGTCAGTCTATTGTTGTCAAAGTGTAAACAAACTTTATTTTAAATGTGTGCAATTGATTTTGTGAATTAAATTGCTAAAATATTTTTATAGTTGTGAAAGAAAAGTGGTTCACAATGTGTTAATGTATTTGTCGAAGAGAAATACTAAGGGTTTCAATATTTTCATTGAATAATGTTTCCGACAAAGGTTGTCAAATTGACTGACATGTTTATCGTATAGTACAGTCCACTATGAAAATTAGCTGTAGTCTGTTTCAACTACCTATTTTAAAGTTTTTTGTCACTTTCTAAGTTTTGAATTTTATGGAATTGGGAAAGAAGTACCGAGTTTGAAGCGTTCATGAGCAGACATTGCAGTTGAATATTCAAGTTCTGAATTTGATTATTGATGAATAATAAAATAAATCCTACTAGCTCGATTGATGGTTTCATTTAATTTATTTAAACCAGGTTACCTTTAATAATATTTTTTCGTTAATTTATGAAAATATCAAATTAGCCCGTAATCCTGAATCCTGATACATAAATTTAGCCTATTAATTTAACACATGTACGACTGTACTCAGTGTTGCACTATCAAATGCGATTGACGCGCCTCTATGCCAGGGTTTTTATGTTCCTGGTCAGGCTATAGTTTTTAATTGAACATCTATCGGAGACTGCAGCATATGCCGCTTCTCTCGCTAGCAATCGACAAAAGAGTTGTAATAGGTCTGACGTGATAGAGCATATAAATCTGAAGCACATCTGAAGTCTCGCTGACGTTCGACGTCTCAAAAACACTCTCCCGTGCTGCTCCCATACCTCAGGCTACTCCTCATACTCCTCAGTTAAGCTAAGACCCGGTTTCCACCAAAGCTGAACGGAGCTGTGGGGAGCAGTGGAAATAATGAAATCTGATTCAAAACACTTCTCCGCTCTGCTACGATCCCCTGCCCCTTGGTGGAAACTGGGCCTAAAAGTAGCTTATGTGCTCTTACTAACTGGGTTGATCAAATTCGTACCTTGCACTGGGGATATCTGCATCCCCAATCCGGACAGTCTTCTAACTCTCTCCTTGTATTTGGTGCACACCATCGTTGCGTACTGGTAAGGCGTCTTACGCTGCGTACAGCCCTGCAGAAAAAACTTGGTTGATTATAGTGTGATTAAGTACTTCTCGTGGATGTCGTAAAACGCGACTAAAGGGCACCTAATATGTGAACATCAGGCCTCCTCAATCAGAGTGGGGAGTGAAAGCTAAATTCTCCGTTTGCCTCTGTTAAATTAGAGGGTCGTGCTTCTGCAATGGAGTCTCCAGTCTCGCCTATGATAAAGTATCTTACCAGGTCAGGCCGCGTGCTTTCAAGCCGACAGAGCTGTATGCTCTTGGGAATTGCTTCTTCAACCTATCTGACCAGCATTTAGAGAGTCGTGTTCCTGCAATCATCAAGGGAATCTTACCAGATCAGGCCTCGTGCTATCAGGCCTACACAGCTGTATGCTCGTCTGCTGAGAGCCCGACACAGCTCTTACAAGTCGCACGCCCACGCCTGGTGTAACGCAGTGGTAGTGGCAGCCACTGCTGGGACGCCACATAATATGCGAACATCAGCTCTTCCCGATCTGTCTAGCCAGCCAGCGTGAGGAGTGAAGGCCGAATCCTTCGTTGCTTCTGGTAAATTAGAGGGTCGTGCTTCTGCAATGGAGTCTCCAGTCTCGCCTATGATAAAGGATCTTATCAGGTCAGGCCGCGTGCTGTCAGGCCGACAGAGCTGTATGCTCTTGAGAGTTGCCTCCTCATTTCCTCAACCAGTCTGGCCAAGGTAGGGGGTGTGAAGGCCAAATCCTTCATTGCTGCCAGTGAATTAAGAGTAGGTCATGGTGCTCCTGCCATGATCAAAGGTATCTTACCAGATCAGGCCTCGTGCTATCAGGCCTGCAGAGCTGTATGCTCGTCTGCTGCGAGCCCGACACAGCTCTTACAAGTCGCACGCCCACGCCTGTTGTAACGCAGTGGTAGTGGCAGCCGCTGCTGGGACGCCACTGGGAGCCCATAATATGCGAACATCAGCTCTTCTCGATCTGTCTAGCCAGCGTGGGGAGTGAAGGCCAAATTCTTCGTTGCCTCTGTTAAATTAGAGGGTCGTGCTTCTGCAATGGAGTCTCCAGTCTCGCCTATGATAAAGTATCGTACCAGGTCAGGCCGCTTGCTGTCAAGCCGACAGAGCTGTATGCTCTTGAGAGTTGCCTTCTCATTTCTTCAACCAGTCTATCCAATGTAGGGGGTGTGAAGGCCAAATCCTTTGTTGCTGCCAGTAAATTAAGAGTAGGTCATGGTGCTCCTGCCATGATCAAGGGTATCTTACCAGATCAGGCCTTGTGCTATCAGGCCGGCACAGCTGTATGCTCGTCTGCTGCGAGCCAGACACAGCGCGTACAAGTCGCACGCCCACGCCTGGAGTAACGCAGTGGTAGTGGCAGCCGCTGCTGGGACGCCACTGGGAGCCCACGGCCCGACGCCATGTGCCAGATGATTTTGTACTGAAAATGTATTCAAATGTTACGCGAATAGGGTTACTTTTCGTTGTCATTGCTACAATATATCCAGAATAAAGATCCTGCCAGGACATACGACCATAGCTGGTATAGAGCTAAAGTTTTTTTGTCTGAGCTCGTTTGTCTTAAGACTTCCCCACTGCAAAGTTGAATCCCAAGTCCCATAGGAATGCATAAACCTTAAGAAGAATGACAAAGAGGTTGTAAATTCGCGAGCAATAAACGCAGAGGTGAAATATGAACACANCGACGCGCTTTAGAATCAAAGATTGACTTTGAATTATGCCTTATTTTACAATTCACATTGAAAACAATATGCTTTGCTTGAACTTTTTCGACTTTTTCAGAAAAATAACAAATAGTCAAGAAGAGATTACAAAAATTTTGCAGCGGCTGACAGATTTCATAATTTTCTTTGACAGGTGACAGTTAAACCATAGACAATTGCCATATGAAAAACACACTTTTCCAATATTTTTGTTTGCCATGAGATTCTGGTACACCTATACGACCATAGCTGGTATAGAGCTAAAGCTTTTTTGTCTGAGCTTGTTTGTCTTAAGACTTCCCCACTGCAAAGTTGAATCCCAAGTCCCAAAGGAATGCATAAACCTTAAGAAGAATGACAAAGAGGTTGTAAATTCGCGAGCAATAAACGCAGAGGTGAAATATGAACACATACGACCATAGCTGGTATAGAGCTAAAGCTTTTTTGTCTGAGCTCGTTTGTCTTAAGACTTCCCCACTGCAAAGTTGAATCCCAAGTCCCAAAAGAATGCATAAACCTAAAGAAGAATGACAAAGAGGTTGTAAATTCGCGAGCAATAAACGCAGAGGTGAAATATGAACACATACGACCATAGCTGGTATAGAGCTAAAGCTTTTTTGTCTGAGCTTGTTTGTCTTAAGACTTCCCCACTGCAAAGTTGAATCCCAAGTCCCAAAAGAATGCATAAACCTAAAGAAGAATGACAAAGAGGTTGTGAATTCGCGAGCAATAAACGCAGAGGTGAAATATGAACAAAAGACTTACGGAGTGGTGTAAGGCGTGGCCGTTTGTAGCTGCAATGCTTCCCACTCGCAGTCGCCAGGCTTAAGCGAGAACTCGTTGTCAATGCTGGCAGTGCACGTGAATTTCTAGAAGATAAACAATGTGTTAATTTTTGTAAATCGCACAAAGAGTCATTGTTACATTGTGGTTGCATCAGACTGTCTATTTCAGTTTGGCGGTTTCAATCTTCTTCGACTGTTGGACTATTAATTGTGGGGAGCCTACCAGCTGTGCGGGGGAGTTAAAAGACAGAGACTGGACCGCTCAACTGAACTTGGAGAATAAATGACCTGATGATGATTCAAGTGAGAGCATTCACCTGCCACATCAGCGCGTCGCGGCTAGGTCAAGTCTGCCAGTGAGGGTAGTTGGTGACAGTCTGAACTTAAGTAGGATGGTAGAAGGCGACCGCGCGCGCGTTACATCACAATACGATGCGAGCGAGGGTAGTTGGAGAGCCTAGAGGTCACTGACCTCTCCTTCATGACGATCGGTCAAAAGAAAGATGCAGGTTATGGCGCAAGAGAGCTGATATCCCCTGTCCTTTTGTCCCTATGTCTGAGAGTCCTCCACCTGAACATGAGCTCCCCTGGCTACCTGAAGTCTTTAAATAGACTTCGGACGCAGGTTGGCCGTAGTAAGGACAATGGTCAGGTGGGGATTCTTGGATGGCTTAAACATGGAGTGTATTTGCGGTTTTGTTCCACAGTCGATGAAGCACCTGATGTCGTGCCCTGAGTGCCCAAGCAACAGCACTCAGGAGGATTTGATGAGTGCTGCTGACAACGCCACTCTTGTGGCAGAGATTTGGGCTGACACTGTGTAGGTTTGTTGTCGACACGAAAAGAAAAAGACTGACCTGGCAGACGCCGGATATGCAGAACATAGGAGACATGCGTGAGCACGCGGTTCCGTCTGGTAGAGTCCAACCGCGCGACTTGTAGCCGCCGCCGCGTGTGTCGCACCATACTGCGCATGCGCTGCTCACGTCTGGAAGAGGGTAGTTTTGTATGGTGAAGATTTTAAGCGCCATCTAGTTCTCAAACTATGCAAAGCTTGTGCTTTGGAAAGAATCAGATACTCTTTGTTGTTCACCACAAGAAACTGACAAGTAGTTAGAAAACACTAAAAGGCCCGGTTTTTTGATTCGTAGTTAAAATAACCAATAGTCAAATTTGACAGATGTCAAGTGACAAGTGGTTAAATATCAGAAAAAAATGTTTTTCGAACAATGGTTAGCTTGACTTTTAGTACATTTTTTAACTATTAGTTAACATATTGTTAATATTTAACCGGGCCTTAGGCCCAGTTTTTTGAGTCGTAGTTAAAATAACCAATAGTCAAATTTTGCTACTAATGGTTAAATATGCAGTACTAATGGTTAAGTATGCGGGCCCAAGTTGCAATGGCACAATTTACATCGATTTATCTCCATCTCCTCCAAAAACCTCGAGGAGAAGAAGGGAGCGTTGGTGATTGAATAAAAGAGGTACTATGAAGGTGTTTCAGAATTTTCAATAACATCGAAATTTCAGATGGTATTAGATATTGAATGTTGAAGCTATAAGACGAGTATGTTTTGTAAAGCACCTCTAAGTGTCTCCTACGGGCACAAATGTAACATTTAACGGATTTAAAACAGGCAGACGAAAAGAATGGTGCTACTTACCATCGACGTCTATTCTCTGCAGACCAGTTCCTATGAGATCGGGGTCTACATCTCTCGCCCTCAAGCAAATCTGATCCGCGAACTGTCTCACAGTCATCCTTGGTACGTTGTTACACTGGAAACAATACGATACTGTTTATTGCACATAATAATAAGAAATACGGAAAGTTGAAAGGCACTGAGTTTCTTCTGCTCTCTTCTCAGCTCCTGCCGATATGTTGTCCTGAAGTGATGTTAGGGCAAGCTATATTTGGGATGTGTTTAAGTACCCTGAAAGGGACAAATAAAGAATTTCAATTGCAATTTATGCAGTTTCTAAGGCCCAGAACAGACGGTGAAACGCAACTGCAACTTTGTGATGATTCTGATGAATGAAAATGAAACTGAAAGTTTCATTTTTATCATTCATGTCGCGTCATGTGTGGTCTCTCAACGGACGCTATGGCAGAAACTTAGATGCAACTCAAAAGTAACTAGCAGTTGCAGTTTCGTTGCAGTTGCGTTTCACCGTCTGTTCTGGGCCTAAATGGTAACTGGTAAGCTCAGGTCAGTTTTCTTGACGCAGATGTTAATAGAAACGTCCAAGGTTTAAAGTAGTTACCTGTTGAGCGTGGCATGACTGGTACTTCTTGTCGTGTCCTGCGCAGTAGTTATTGCCGTTGTCATGCCTGAAAAAGACAAATGAGATGAATTTTGTTCTTACGCTCTATCTATTAGCTTCCATAACATTCCATTTACTTGGAAGATATAATCGATGAAGCCTCCATTGAAACCAGCTCGTCCGTCGCTCTAGAAACCATGACCGAGTATAGAGATTCATGCTCTACATTAAGTTAAGAGAATAAAAACTTATGGAACTGACTAGCTATTCTGGGCTTATCCAATAGATCTTCAGGGGTATCCAGAAGAAGCTTCAGTGAAGCTCCAATGGTTCTCCCCAATCAATGGCGGAGGTTCGCGCCTTGGGGCAGCTTCCGCGATGTGTATGTTTCATCCAATACCGTCTAGGCCAACAACTTAATTCATGGTGGAGATTTTACGCCCTACGTTTCTAGTTCAACGGGACTATTCCCACCTCTCGTTCCCACCACTGCAACTCCTGTGTAGCCAGGATCTACAGCTTGACCGCCACAAAAACCCAACCAATGAAGGTCAAGTTTATCCCGGGGGAAAGTTAAACTGTCATTGGACCCGCAACGAAATTAATCAGAAGAACATAGGAGGAGTTCGAAATTAAGGTTCGACTTCCCTCCATTGCAAAGCGGATGACAGGTGACAAACAAAGGTTTAAAACCTTTAAGAAAAAGATTATGCACCACGGACAATAAATTAAATTTAGGGGGCCTATCTTATGAGCAATTAGCAACTACCTGCCAATAATATTTTTCACAAAATCGCTTAAAAGCACGGAAATTTTTCCTTGTCGCGACAAGATCGGTGTAATAAATTGCGGAAACAGATGTATGTTGGGTGTTATTCCCTTGAGGATGACGGAATCGAGCAGCTTCTGAAAAGCCTTTAGTACCGGCGTTCCGCCTGCTTTCAGAAGCTGATTACGGTGCCTTGTTGTTTTTCAGCTGTTTGAGAACCATTCTAATCTCGTATAGACTAATGTCCGGAATATATTCGGTAGGTGTCGGATCAATCTAGCTAGCACGTATTTTCTATAAAAATGTGTAAAATGATCTGTCAGACAAGCTATCCACAACTTATCCAGAAATGGCGAAACAGGCCCTTACTAAGCGATTGTGAAATATGCCCTTAATGTCAAATAAGAATAATTTAAAAAACTAAAAACATGCTTTTAATTACTAACAGTACCAAAAGGCCAAAAATCATCAGGACCCTGGACATCATCTAGCATTAAAGTGCTCAAAAAGACAAATTCAACGAACCCAACTCGATGAGTTTCCGCAGTTTCGTTTAAGAGTTCCTATGGCCACCTCCTGACTCCATCATTAGGACCCTGGACATTATCTAGCACTTAAAGATCTCGAAAAGACAAATCCAATGAACCCAAACTCGATGGATTCCGCCGTTTCGTTTAGGAATTCCTTTGGCCACCTTCCAGTCCCTTCATCAGACCAGCTGGTACCACAATATTGTATTGTCATCTAATCTACATATAATTGCCAAGTTTCATGATGATACAAGACTTAGAAGTGCGTGTAATTCAGATTGTAAGATTCCATTACATAGTTAGTTACATACACGACGACCTAATAAAAGCGTGTTAAAAACGAAAAAATGGACAGTTACAATATTTAATTACGTGTTAAAAGAAACTTCTGTCATCTTACATATCATTAAAACGCCATTTCACGACGAAAAAAATAAAATATAATAAACGTGCAGTTGCCGAGAATATTGCCGAGAAAGTTCCCGAGAATATTCTCGGGAACACTGGGAATATAGCCTTTCACTGCAAATAGAGTGTATTGTTTATACACTTATCTGTCGACTTAATTTAATGCTATTTTACTTATGAAAGTTTGTTTATTTCCATTTGAAAAACATGATTCTCAACCTTTCTCACTTAGGAGAACGCTCCCGGGAGCGCTCCCGAGAATATTCTCAGTAGGGAGAGCGTTCTCGGGAACGGCACATCAATAGTGACCCTAGCTGAAAAATTAAAAACTGCTAGATTTAAAAAATATAACCTGTCAACAGCACTGGCTGGATCAGGGGTGATTTACTGTTTGTACTCCGAATGACTGTCGTGAATACACCGATCAAAATGGCGTGAATAGTTATGCGCAACTTTAGGGCCCTGTAACTTATTTATTTGTAGAGTTATTTTCATGATTATTTTACAATTATTNATTTAAAAGTTAGACCCCACGTCGAGGTTGAAATGTGACTTAAGGCATAAAAGTTCGTTTCTAGTTAAGTACTTTTTATTTTTTTATGTGATAGGAGGCAAACGAGCAGACGGATCACCTGATGGTAAGTGATTACCGTCGCCCATAGACACCCGCAGACCCAGGGGCGTTACAGGTGCGTTGCCGGCCTTTAAGGTGAAGATACGCTCTCTTCTTGAAAGCTTGCAGGTCGTATCTGTCCGGAAACACCGCAGACGACAGTACTTGATTACTGATGGACTTACCTGAGCCTATTACACTTCCTAGTAGCCACAGAGACCCCAGCAGCAGCCGGTGCGTGTGTATCGTCTAGTAAGCAAGCTGAAGCGCATTCAGACCAGCCCGACCACCGGCCCCATGATCCTCGGCGGATGGTGGATCCCTCACGTTCCACGCACTCGCCTCCGCGGCAGTACTGAAATGGACACCATAAAAATAAAGAAACAAGAACACGATTCTAATGCCCGTTTTCACCATCAATCCCTAATTTTTAAGTGACCCTTATGGTAACACATAATAAGAATTTTATTTTCAAAGGGGGCACTTAAAAGTTAGGGATTGATGGTGAAAACGTGCATAAGGGATATTAGATTCTAAGATGAGATCTAGTGAGGGCTGTCGTATTATCGTTCATCGGTTGGAGTTACTAGCGTGTACCTAAATGCTAGTCTTCACTCTAGGAGACTAGGACTTTCCGATCATGGTGCCAACAGGTACTTAGGATGGAAGCCAGTTATTTCCACTGGCGAATTCTTATTATTTTCGTGTCGACAACAAACCTACACAGTTTCAGCCCAAAATTCCGCTTCAAGAGTGGCGTTGTCAGCAGCATTCATTAAAGCCACTGGCGAATAAAGTGATGTGAGGATAGCCCTTATTGCATCTAAGTAACTGCTATGCAAAACTAATTCGTGACATTTCTATTTAGACTTAATGTAGTCCTATAGAAGTAAGTGACGTTGGTTGACTTGATCAAACTGCCTGCAAAATAATTAAACATAGGACAATATACCATATCCTCCCCGCACTTCGTGCCTTCAAGCGCTGGGTGTGAAGTCCAGGTGTACCGCTCTCGTTGACAGTGCAAATCTCTGCAGATATCTTCCAGGTTTTGGGCGGCTGAATGACGACTTCCACGGCCGTATTTTAGCATACCTGAAATCATAATGTCACAGGTGTGAACTCTAACCACTAGACTACAAAGGCGTAAATTGTCTGAATATGATACTTATGCTGAGACTTACATTGTTGGTCAGCGTCGAATCGTTCTCCCGGTAGGATCCCTTCGGCGCTATGGTCCAGTTGTCCTGCTGAGTTACCGTGGTCCAGCAGGCATCTGGATTGCACCGTGCTGAAATAAAACATTTTTACTGAGGTTGATCCATTTCTACAATCGTCAGTCAAAGTTCAAAATACGAGATAACACATGATGGGTCGTAAAGGCACTTTTTCTGAGAATTTCGACAAACTAAATATACAGATCGATAGAGAATTAAATTCTGAGTACAACTGTATAAAAGACTCATTTTCGGTATTTTGTCCTTTACGACCTTTGAGCCCAGAGGTATCGACATATTGGTAACAAATGGGATAACAAACAATCTTCAGAGTGCAGGCGTGAGAAAGCTTTATTGCCCCATAATGGTACGCGTTGTTAAGTAGGCTTATACATCCAATTAATGAGGCTAAGGTTGGTGGTGTAAGCGCTCGGGTAGGTCGTTGTCGTGTCGCTTGCCTTGACTATAGACTGGAATGTTATCTGTGACTTACTCTAGAAACTTCTGGAGGTAGTTCTTGCTGCACTGCGACCAGGTGATCTTGCCGCTGCCCAGGGTAGGGCTCATGATGTAGGCGCTCGGATCACAGCCGTTGTCCGCTTGGGGACCGTCGTGCCGCATGCCCAGACTGGAAGTTAGGAAGTTCAAGCAGTTTAGGTAACTTTAGACAATACTATTTTTAAATAATGATATCTTGCGGAGATTTCATGGCGAAGTTTCTATTACTGATAATAATTACTGAGAAGTCTTATAAGACACCAAAATAAACATCATCATCGTCATGCCTATCATTCGCAATGCATCTTAAACTCTATCATTAACTTACTTGTGTCCAATTTCGTGTGCCACGACGTAAACGCTCTCGAAGTGCCTTCCTTCGTTCACTGTACAGCTGCTAGTCACTGTGCACATCCCTGCTACTGGTGCCAGTCCTAAAATATTAACAGCAATTAACTCAAGGTCCCTTACTTAGGGCTAGTTTAAACGGTTCTAGATAAACTTTATAAAAAAGACCTAAAAAAGTATTAGGCGCCTTCAAATTAGAGGCATGTCATAGTCGCCACTACACAAACGCGACATGCATCGCAGCTTTTAGAAACTGTATGAAATATAATAGTAGGCGCCACTGCAGCGCTGCCTCTCACGTCTCTCGATTTGAAGAGGGCTTACTTAAGTGTATTTTTAAAGAGTCAAAAATAGCTTCTCCTGTCCTATTTTTGATTAGGTAGCTGTTATCATTTTTTGTCAAAAGTTTTATCATTGTGATGTTAATTCACTTAGGCTGAGTTGCACCAACTTACTTTAACCGTAAGTTTGACAGATTTTTGACGTTTGTTAAAGTTAAAGACGGTGCAACTCATACTTAGGGTTACTTCTAAATCTTAATACTGAACTTTGGAATTAAAAATGTTGAAAAGATTAACGCATTCTCCAACTTCCACAATCTCTATTAATCTAGTAAATAATTTCACGGCTCCACAATCCATCGATCATGCTTTCCCAATCGAACCAGATTTATTGTGTTCGTCTAGACATAACGAAGCGAAGATTGATGTGGTTCCATTAGACATAGAACATTAAACCTGCGATTGCGATCGCTGAGAGCGTTAAGAATTACAAAATTCCCAGCTATGCGTATTTCACACACGGTTAGGGTGAAGCCACACCGCTTTTTTTCCTCAACTGAGTAATTCCTATAAGACAAGGCGCAGACCACCGATTTTTAGTTGGCCGATAGTTGTGCCTGATTTTAAATTGTATGAAGAATCGGCCAAATCAAATCGGTGTAATGTGCGCACTTCCATACATGACCATATGATACTGATCAACTGCCCGACTAAAATATCGGCCGATGAAAAATCGATGGTCTGCTCCTAGGAACAACAATAAATTTATGACAACAATCATTAGACCTAGTAAATAAAATGACATAACTATTGTCATTTGAAGCAGTCTACTACAAATAGTAGAGGTGTGACCTCAGCCTTAGGTACAGCTTAGTTAAGAATTTCAAGAATGGTTTATTACTAAAAGAAAATGAGAAACTTGTGAAAGTAATTTACTATTTTTCATTAAAATGAAAAATTAAATTGCGGCTTAATGTCAGATATTAATTAGTGATTACTGTTAGATAAAAGAAATGGTTTATGACCGGTAGATAAACTACGATTACAAAAAGAAAGTGAGTTTAATAAACTTCAAGCTCACCTACAACTTGACTGCTGACTTTCCCATTCTTATTCACCACGTACAAGTCCAGTCCTGTCAGAATCAAAGCGTGGTCCCAATGCAACGGGTCATTGTCACCAGGAGGGTTCTCCAGCCTTTGCCATGTGCAGAAATTGCTCAAAAACCTATCTATGTCATGAGGCCGCTTCAAATTCACTGGGTCTTCGTGCAGAATTTCCAACCTTTTCAAAATAAAATTCACTGGTCTCCCAAGAGATGGGTCGTGGTATATCAACTGCACTGCATTGATCATAGCTAAAACAAATCTCACTAACTCCCTCTCTGTGTCTTTTGGGAAATTCACTGTCATATGCTTGTAAAGATCTCTATCAACAAATACTGCTGTTTCCACAAAAATCGCTGGTAGGATTGCTCTTTTCTGTCTTTTTGTGTCTGGAACTAGTTTCTGAAGAAACGCTCCGATGGTTTTATTTCTATGGTCTAAATTCAATTTGAAGTCTTCTAAACTAGTTTTGCTTGTTGATTCAGTATCCACCTCCCTTTTTCTCCTGTGTTTGGTCCATGTTCGTGAAGATTGAGGTTCAACTGAGGTATTGAGTTCATCTCTTTCTATACAAGTGTCTTCGGATTCTTCTTTATCGTTATTTGAATCAGTTATCTTACGCTTAACTATGATATGTACTTTTGAGTCAGTTTTGTGGAACCTTTCTGGTAGTGGATGAATTAAATAGTAACTGTCGTTGGATTTGACTAAACCTCTCTGTAAAAAAGAACAAATTAATGAAGTAAACTTTCATTAGATATTATCTCTATCAGCAGACATTATGTTTTTTAAGTTTCATTGTGGTTCTATATCATTTGTCCATCTCATGGTGACAAAATATTCGTTCGTTTCAGCCAAATGACGTCCACTGCTGGACAAAGGCCTCCCCCAAGGTTTTCCACAATGAACGGTCCTGCGCTGCCCGCATCCAGGCTCTTCCCAAAATATTAATTCGTCAATAAAATTAGTAACTCTCCGGTAAATTTTTAGTACTGGATCTACCTATCTAGTAAGAACACGTACCTACAGTAGCGTCAAATAGTTCGTAAACCCAAAGTTGCCAAAAAGTTTGTAATTTTTTGACCACTTTGGGTGTCACAACTTTTTAACGCTGACTGATCATAATGTAAAATATTGACACTTACCACATCATTACAAGCAAACAACGCAGCATTCTCGCTCTTATAATAACAACTATCCAGCTCCTCATCAGAATGCTGGTCCAGCACAGCCTCGGTACTGTTGAGCCATCTCCTCATGAGCAGGAACTCTGGGTCTAGGAAACTGTTTCTGGGACTTAGCTTCACGTCTAGGTGTTTCTTTAGTACGACTAGGTCTTCGTCATCGTAGAATAGGGAACGCTTGCGGCGCTTCGGGTGTTTTAGATGGGCTAGATCAAATTCGGCATCTGTGAAAAATATTGTTGTTCAGGTTGATTTCGCTGTAACACACACACAGCTGATAACCAAGGTCTATCTCTTCACTTATAGCAGCATTCCAAGGTACATGATGCAGGAAATAGAAGTAGAGAGAGTGACTATGATAGGTCACACAAATTTTGATGGCTTTCTACGAAATAATAAACATATAAATCTTCATTAATAAGTCCATTAGATACGTCTACGTTATCAACAAACATTTAAGTAATTATTTGTTTATTATCACAATATTTTAAATGTTATGAGCTTCTCTAAGGATCTAAAAATAATTGAAATTTTAAGCTTCTTAGAAGGCCTACTATAAGAATTTAAAATCTAAACTTACCATTAGGATTGGCACCGAAAAAGAATATTTTCTCAGACTCTGTTAGATGACTCAACAACTGCTTTGTGTGTTCCTGGAACAATAAAAACGACTGTTAAAATAACTTTATGTTGTAGGCATGTATAATTGTGCACTTATGATTAATTTATCATAATCATGTCGTTTCGAATATTACTAGGAAGTAGACGATACATTACGCTGTTATAAGTTTCAAGACATTTTTATGTAGTAGGTCCTGTACTATTCGCGTATTATAATTATAAAAGTGTCGCGTTGAAATCCGTGATTCTTTCTCTATTGTAATTGTAATGGAAAGCGAAAGTTTCATCATCATCATCATTTCAGCCTTCCAGATTGGCTGGCAGCGACTTGCATCTAGTGCCTTCCCGCAACCATTATTAGGACATCTGTCTACTATGCGAAAAGAACGCGAAAGTTTAAAATCTTATATAACTAGGAAAACCGACGACCTCATAAAGGGAAGGCGCTGGATGCGGCCGCTACCAACCGGGCAATATGGAAATCATTGGGGGAGGCCTATGTTCAGCAGTGGACGTCCTATGGCTGAAAATAATGATGATGGTGATGATCTAGGAAGTGTTTGAAACCACTTTATTTTCATTAACCTTGACTCTATCTAATTACAGGTAGTAATCTATTGTGTTTGTCTGTCATTGGTATTATGAGAAGTAGCCTCGACACACAAATTTTGACAATGGATGGTTTCGCACGAAGTCAGCGATTAATCGGATCTTTGGGTAAGGAATAATTTAAAAGAAACTATTCGTTTTGCGGAAAGTGTAGCAAAAGATTGCAATTTATGCATTTTAGTTAGATGACTGATGATCTTTGTGCCGTTACACTAAATACATAATATCATGGGCCACGAAATCCTACCAAGAACATACATGTAAAATGTACGTAAATCAGATTTCAAGTAGAGATAAGCTTCTAACTCTACACGCCCTTCTTCTTCTTGTCGTGTCGACAACAAACCTATACAGTGTCAGCTTAAAATTCCGTTACAAAAGTGGCGTTGTCAGTAGCATTAATTTTGCAGTGTAGTTGGGCATTCAGGCATTGTAGAATTGATTTTACATGACGCAGGGCACGACATCAAGTGCTTCATCGACTGGGGAACACAACCACACTTGCACTCCAAGTTTGAGCCATCCGAGAATCCCCACCTGAACAGATTGTCCTTACTACGGCCGACCTGCTTACGAAGTCTATTTAAAGACTTCCAGGTAACCCCTGGCTTACAACTAAGTCAAAATATGTGGCTATATTATAAGAAATTGATTTACCAAAAATACCAAATAAGTTGATATCGCTCTCGCCTACAACTTGCAGTATGCAAGAGAAGTACAGGGGTATTGTTTAATTGGTGATTATCCACACTCTTTGTATTGGCTGGAGATCTATTTTTTGCGTTTTCAAGACAATAGTTGTGTATAAGTTTTATGGCTTTTGCTATTATTGTCTAATTATAATTAGAGAATAATCACTTTGCGGAGAAAGCGCATTTTCTTGCTTTTCTATTGTTCACCTAATTAATATTGTAGGTTGTATCCTGTAGCTAATTAATAATTAATTATTACCATGTTTAACGAAGATAGAGATCTATGTAACCTAAATAATTAAAGAATATTCTTTTTCTAGTTTTCTAGTCAGCAATGGAAAGGTTAATGATGTCAGAACTTAATATTATGGGCTAATAATTTATTGACTTGAATTTATGTTTGAAATTTTTCCAAACTCGTTAAGTAAAAGTAGCTTAGTGCTAGTTACTGGCTTCGTTATTCGTAACGTAATATTGTTTTGACGCAGTGTTTTGTGTTGCTTGGCACGTTTTGTCACAAAACAGGGGCAAAATTGCACTGTGACTTGTTGTAAGTACAACTTTCCTGAAAGCTTACTTACAAAAGTAAATTACTTTTATGTCTACCGTAGACATAATAGGTTGACACGATGATAAAAGGAACTATAAGGTGATAAGTTTCTAACTATGTTCTTCAATGGTCATTTACTGCTGTACAATCGAAGCCAAAACCTCAAGTCATCAATAAAATTGAAAGTGTTCAGTCATCTCTATTTGCCATAGCAACCGCTAATTATACTGACAAACTGCCCAATCATTATGCTATTACGCGGGTTCAGATTTCCTCTGCTTTCTTTCTGAATTAGATAATTTTCTTCTGACCATTGACCCGTGGTAGGGCTGTGAAAGGTTTATTATTGAATTGAAGCTTCGTAGCTAAAAATAAATAAAAATACGAGTACGGTCTGTAAAAAAAGCTCTCATATTTAAAATCTCTCTAAAGGATTATCTAACTGGTTGCAGTTTTTTTTGTCGGCCGTTTGGTGTAGTGGTTCAGAACGGACTACTATGCCGAGAGGTCCCGGGTTCGATTCCTGGCCGGGCAGAAATTGAAATATTTTTTTCATCGTGGCCTTGTCTTGTGAACAACAAAAAATCTTTACAATATTTGTACCTATGAATTCAATTTTGATATTATTTGTGCCGGTAGATTTGTATCATCCGAAGACAACAAAATGTCAGTTGGTAAAAATATTTATTCCGATCTTTTAAATAAAATGTCATGGTCTCGAAGTAACGGTTGCCAGGAATCGAACTATACAAAAAGATAAACGAATCTACATTTGGTGTAGAGGTTAAAGGTTTCCCTGGTGTTAGGTTAACTAATGCCCGTTGTCACCATCAAACCCGAATTTTTAAATAACCCCTATGAAAACAAAATACCTGTTATGTGTTACCATAGAGGTCACTTAAAAATTAGGAATTGATGGTGAAAACGGGCATAATTCTGCTGCTGTCTCATAGATTATTTTTTTTGTCATTTTCAGTCAAATGTTGATTTCACTGAAAAGTGTTTTATTCAAAACGATATGAGACTGTTTCAGTTATAAATAAAGTATTACAAACATTACAACACTGAATCCTGCTTTACACGATATTTAGACAAAGCGCAATAAATTCGTAATTATTTATTTGAAATCCATAAATTACAAAATAATTTACTATAAACGCATTCTGGCAACCCTGCTCAGTAGAGCGCGAAAGTGCAAAATCGTTTCGTCGGTACATCTCAATGTTTTGAATACAATAGTTCAACGTCGACCGGCGCAAGAGTTGCATAATAGATTGGCGTGGAAATTGGATTATTTTGCTTGGGATTAGACGGTTTGTTTGATACTCGTGACGGATTAGTGTGGCAGGTGTATTTGTTATTAAGATGATAAATAAGTTGATAGTTTAAGAACAATATTTTAAGTTACATAATAAATGATGACTTATAAAAGTTTCATAGGGCTAGGTAGACGCTAGAAAATGATGGCATACATTTTGGGGATCCTAAAGCTCTATGCAGAGAATGTTGATAGAGAAAGCGTTTTTATGAGCTTTTTAAGTTAGTTTTTTCTACTAGACGCGTATTCTGCTCCATATCCCTCTGTATACACAATAATATTGTATTTTTATTTGAAATTGAAACATTATTTACTTACTTTATAATGCCAATTAAAACTGAAATCTTTTCTCCAAACGACACAGCCCTATACGAGAAAATGAAGTCTAAATAGGTCACGAACACAAGCAAGTCTAGCTGTAGCTACGCTCCTGCAGAAAGCTGTCTCCATTGTTTTAGCTAGAGCTATCTTGGATCAAGCTTTCTAGAGACAGTAGGACTTACAAGTCTGTCTAGATAGGCTCTACAATTCACAGTGCAGTTTCTTTTTCTTTGTAGCTAAAGTTGAATGAAAAGTTTTGATCTGTGATTTAGTAAGTAGTCGATATGACTTTACCTTTTCTTTTTTTATTATTTTCTATAATAATATTTTGACGTTCATAAGTGCCACTTGTGGTCTAAACTTAATAAATATTTTTGATTTTGATTTTTTATTTATTTTTGAGAACTTCTTTTACTTGTTTAAAATACGATATACTTACGAATAAAGTGGGCGTTTAACTTACATTAGAAAATTTATAACGCCTGTATTCACAAACGATGCTTGCTTAAGTGAAGCAGCAAACCGAACGCACAGCCTTCAATAGAGCTCTGTGATTGGTTCGTGTGTCACCCTGTGCGTCCACGCACTGTAAGACCTCATAGTAATGTTTGTGAATATGGGTGTTAGTCATTGACTTTTGAGTTTTCTTTTTAAGTTAAATCAATAAGTGAAGTAACATATTTAAGTAGGTAAGTATGCTTTAGTATCAGAATATTATGTTATATGAGTTTTAAAGTTGAACTGTTAATATTTAATAACTGAAAGTAGCGGGTAAATAGCAATAAATAGGATCCCTATATTGCAGTTAGCTGTCGAGTCACCTTGACAAAACGTGTGCTGTTGGCATACCAGCTGTCTATTCACGATTTGTCTCGCACAGGGCTGGACTCAGTGGATATAATTTTCTGTATTACAAATCACAGACAGTAAGCGCCACTGCGGTTATAGTGACAAGAAATAAGATTTGATTCTTACAACGAAAAGCTAGAGGATACAAAGATGAGCTAGACACATTCCATCCAAGAAATGTTAATCCCATCAAAAACATTTTTATGTAAAATTTTGCCAAGATGAGACCATCATTGTAAAAAGTTATCAGATCTCGTGTGCTCTACATGCTTCTAGTCTACAAGCCCTAACCAAAGAAACTCTTTTACAACTTAGTCAAAATGCCTATAATATGTGGCATGCCCGTATCGCAATCGTCACATGATGGGCGTGAGGTGAAAAATGTATTCACTGTTCATACTTTTCTGTTATATGATACTTCTTCATTTCATCTTTTTGAACTATAATTCATATTGAACTTATTACGGCCCTGGCGAGCAGACTGTCCTAGTTATTACTTCAACTATCACTGTGATCCAAAAGTTAAAAAAAGGAATTGACTATGCAAGGTCTCTCTTAAATGTCATCGCTTTATTGTAGTGAAATATGCTCCAATAAATACCTAAACTAAACCCAAAGTATAGTAAGACTTTATGTTAAATTAAAAAACTGCTCTACATTTTATTCAGCTACGGGTGTGATAGGCTTAATATT